GAATTCCACAGCATTGAGCCATGGCGGTTAAAGTGGTATCAATCTGCAGCCCTAGATAGGCTTTTGGCCTGATCCATCATGGTTCTTTCTGTCAAGAAAGCCAACAACTTCATATAATTTCATACATGTTGTGATTGGGGGGAAAAGCCAGTAAATGGACATGGGGGGGTGCAGACGGAAGGACATGGGCCGCCCTGGGAAGGGGAGGATTGAAGCCAAGACTGCCCCATGCCACATGGTGAGGAGGATTGAAGCCAAGACTGCCCCATGCCCATGGTGACTGGGAAAGGAGCACCAAAATAGCACTCCTTTCTCCAGCTGTGGAAAGGGTGCCAGAAGAGCCAATGCATGGCTCTTCTGCGTCTCTTCCGATGCAGCACGTGAAGACACCGTGTCGGGAGGATGTCATCAGGACGATTGTTGTGTGATGACGTCCTTGGGGAAGGGTTGAGGCGGCCGGCGTGCGGCTGCCCCTCCACTTCCCTGCCTCCAAGACAGCACTTTGCACTATCTGCAGAGGCCCATAGATAGTCACCCTCTTTCTCAGCACTGCATGGCTCTCACCTGAACTGGCAACCTTTCTCTCTTAAGAATGGTATATTTGAGGAGGTGTCAGGAGACAACATTAGCCCAGATTCTTTGCACTTTTAACACAGTATAAATACATGCCAATATAGTCACAACAAATTTCATAGCAGTGTAACCAACTATGCAGTGAGTGTCTTGGCCTTGAGCTCACCTTGGCAGTGCACAACAGTCAATTATCTCCCACCCGCCAAGTAAAAAGTGAGAGAGGAGACTTTGTATGTTTACCAGCAATGTTTAGCAGCACTGGTTACGGCCTCCAAGAAAGTACAAATGCTTACACAACTAGTATACCAACAAGATTCCAGTCAAAAGCTCTGTGTAAGATTGGAGTGGGCAACTGGGAAGGGATGGGGACATTTTTCACAGCTTCACTCCCTGGAAGGAGTGACTGGAAATGATGTCACATCATGGGTTTTTGTGAGTGTAAGGATGTGTTTTAGAATTTCTTCCTGATGTTTCGCCTGCATCTGTGGCTGGCATCTTCAGAGAATGGTGGCATGGAAGTGAGTGGGGCATATATATACTGTGTGACCCTTGGTTGAGAGGATGTGCTTTGCATGCTAATCTGTGTATTGTTCTGTTGTTGAATAGCAAGGCCTCAGGGTGGTAGGATATGTGAGAAGGATTAGTGTCTATTTAATTAGCGATCCATTGTCTGCTGGGAAAGCCCCTGCCTCTGGGTGAAGTTCATTTGCATATGCTGAGTCTTGATTTTGGTGTTTTTCAGGACTGGTAACCAAACTTTGTTTATTTTCATGGTTCAGTTTCTTCTTTCCTGTTGAAATTGTCCAGGTGTTTGTGGATTTCAATGGCTTTCCTGTGCATTCTGACCTGATAGTTTTTGGCATGATCCAGAATTTCAGTGTTTTCAAATAGCATTTTATGCCCAGTATAGCAGGGGGTCCCTCCATGAGTATTTGGAGCATAGTGGCACCAAGGCTTTTCATCACAAGATCTGTCCAGATAGCTTATGTAAGGTTGAGAGGACTTGTCAGATTTCCTAGAGATTGTTTCATGAAAGTGAATTATTATCATGCAAAGCACATAGCCTTGGAAACATCACTCAGTAGGAGAAATGTCAAACAGGGAGGAAAAAAAGTTTGAACAATTATCTCTCTAGAAGAACCAAATGAGTCAGTATCTGTTGTTTATGGAACTTTGTGATGTGTCATCTGAGGAGGCTGATCTGCCATTTCAAGTCTCGCACCAGGAATTGCACAGATGGCATCAGCACAAAGGGGAAGTGGAAGAGATCCAAGCAGCCAATGGTCTGACGTCCACTATATTTATGAAAATTATCAGTATATTCCAATATGGTAATTAGGGGCAGAGCTTTGGTAGACTTTACCTTTGAGACTTCATTTGCAGACAGACAAGTTACCTGATTTGTCTCATTGTTCAATGAGTGTTTCTCTTCAGAATTGCTTGTGCTTTGATGGCAAAGTAATGTTTCCATTTAGTTCACTGTGAACTGAACTGTAGATGCAATTATTCTGCCCCCTCCCCTTTGCCAAAATTTATTATCTTTTGCCATCAATTCGGAGAAAATAATCCTTTTATTAGCAGCCCTCAAATAATAGAATAGTTAATCTCTTATCAGTGGGTGTTTTTTTATTGGACAGTAAAATTTTAACTACGCTGTTCTTTAAAAAGACACACAAACCTTACAATAAAAATAAGGCCATAAACCTTTAATAAGACCTATTAAGAAAATCAGCAGGTTTATTCATGGAATCAGACTCAATATTAATATGCATTTTACTGGAATTATTTGTAATCCCTGGAAATTATTTGCACCTGTTCTACCACAGCCAACTGCTTATATGTAAAAGTTCTGAATCACTCTTTCCCAAATATTTCTGGGTTCTGCAAGATCAAGAGGCAAATTATGTAATCTTTAGCCAAACAAAATACAATTAATATAAATTGTTACAATTCTTAGTATCAAAAATTGCAAAAGAATTAAAGCCTGAAACAGCCATGAGACATTATGACATTTTGCCTAAGACTACAGGAGAGGGGAGATCCTGTTGGCAATGTTGGATCCAGAGGGAATTGCTAATTGCTAAAATGATTAGAAAACCACATCTCTTGCTCAGATGTCCACAAACATATTGGTGTCATAAGGCAGGAATGCACATTTTACGGGAGAATTTGCCCCTAGATTCTGATGAAAAGTTGTATATTTGTTTCTTAGTAGCTACTTTTCTCCACTGCCAATGACAAATGCATCATTGGCTGCATCTGCACAGCGGAAATAATACAATCTGACACCACTTTAACTGCCTCAATGCTATGGAATCCTGGAATTTGTAGTTTGTTGTGGCACCAGAACCTTTTGACAATCTAAATAGCTCACAAAACTATAAATACTATAATTCCATAGCAGTGAGGCATGACAGTTAGTCAAACTGCATTATTTCTGCAGTGCTGATGCAGCCATTATTGTAAAAGTGCAGTAGTGTTTTATTTTTTGAATTGCAATATTTTAAAGGCAGCATCAGAAAAATGAACTTTTTAATTTTATCTCCCCTCCAAAAAAAATCTCCCCCCCAAAAAAACCATTTACAACAGAATAATTAGAAATGTAATTTGTGCTCTGATATTTCATATTACAAGCTTATAAGATGAACTTTTTGAGATAAACATCTCACTGGTAAACTCAGTAGATTGTCATATTGTTAATGCCATTGATAAAGTTACATTAATAATGTCATTGTAGAATTCAACAATTAATATTAATCTTTGTGGTCTAAGGTACAGGAAGTGATATTCTAGTAAACTGAAGAGCCAGTTCTAAGAATTTTTAAAAATTTGAGACATCAGTTTAAAAAATGAAATTCTCTGACAGCAATATCAGATTTGCAGATTGCTGAGTGATAAAGCTTTGTGTGTGTATGGATGACCTAGTTGTGTGAATGTTTGTAGAGTTACTCCATACCATATGCCAGTCCTCACTAGTCCAACACTGTCTGGATGAGTGGGTGCTGCCTTGAGTCCTTATATTGAGAGAAAAACAGAATATAACTAAATAAAATAATAAAAATAATATAATAATGAGTGACACTACAATGCCCACTATTTCCTGGTTAGGGGTGATGGGAATAGTAGTCTGACTTATCTGGAGGCTGCCACGTTAGGTAACTGTGTTGTTTTTACCCTATTCTTTAATGCATTACATTTTTTCCTGCATTTCTGTGAAATCCAACATTTAAGGGTGCTAAAAAACATTATAAGCAAAACAAAACAGTTGAAAAGGCCAGATTGAAAAAAATCCATCTTCTCTTCCTAAAAGCCATGAGAGTGGGATTTATTATACCTCCAAGGAGAGTGTGTTCTTCAGTCTGGGGCAGCCCAACAGAAAGCCTTCTACCAATGCTTGGTGGGGCTTCCTCAGGTAATGGTATATTCCTGCCCTTTCATGTATTCTAGCACTTTTAATTTTCTTAGCTCTGTATCATAAAAGTAATTAAATTCCAGTCCCAAAGACTAATTTTTCTTTGCATAGGTTTCCATGGCTATTTTTGATGGTCTCCATGGTGCTGAAAGAGATTTTCTGATTGGGACCAGCGTTGCTGTGACAATAATCCACATCTAACAAGCAGCATGAACGCAAGCACTCTCAACCACCTACCATTAGATATTTTAAGATAACTAACATTATATCAGGAGGGCCAAATGTACTTTGTAGGAGTATCTGAAGTGGTACATTTTCAAACCATCCTTCTGCATAACACTGGTCTTACTGCTCTACTGGAATGCTTCATATTGGGAATGAATGCATTCACATGTATAGCCCAGTTCTGATTTCATATTCTCAAATTCTTCACTACTTGGTTGCAAGACCATATTAAAATAAATTGTGTTACTTTAGATAGCTATCAAATGCACTTGGTTAATTCATATGAACCTGATGGTGGTAGTGATGACGATAGTGCATAAACTCACCAGCAACTATATAAATTTTGAAATGAAACATGCCCTACCTGCAGAGTAGCTAATTGAAAACCAATAATTTAAGCCAAAAATCACCTCATGAAAGTAATAAAACACAATAGAATCCTATTAAGCAGAAAATCCATACCAGTTGAGCATCTAGAGAGTATGGGCAAATGATAAACTCTCCAAAAGATGACAGAGCTAGGCCAGATAAACTTCTCTGGATAGTGAATTGGAATGATAGTGTACTATCACTAAAAAGATCCAGTCTTGGTTAACACCATGTGTCCCTCAAATAGCAGCAGAACTAAATGATGCTTTTAGGTGTGGGTGGGTTTATGTGGAAGTAGTAATAGTTGTTGTTCTTGGGTACCTTCAAGTTGTTTGCCACTTATAGTGACCCAAGGGCAAACCTATCAATGGATTTTCTGTGGCTAAGAGTTTGTATCCAATGTCACCCAGTGGGTTACCATGGCCAAGAAAGGGAATTGAACCCTGATCTCCAGAGTCATAGTCCAATGCTCAAACCACTACATCATGCTGGCTCTAAACGTGGAAGAAACTAGATGTTAATAAAATATTATTCCAACCATTCCTTCCCATTTGCCAAGCTATTTGTGCCTGATCAAAATTGGAGACCAACACCATCTGGAAATGTTGGTCATGAGTTTTCTGTCCCAGGTATAGGGCAGGGATGGAACAGAACGTGGCAAAAACCTGACAATTTTCAGAAGCATGCACATTGGTTTGTTGACCAATGCAACCTTCACCAATAATTTTTCTAGTTTCTAATTCCTTAAAAGAATCTGTCTGTGTAATTTTCTCCACAACCAAAAGGACTAGAAGCTTTGGACATGTCTAGTCTTAGCTCTGGCACACAGAGAATAGGGTCTGTGCATTCAAAAGGACTCAGTATGCTGTAGTAACAGTAACACAGGTAACTTTATACTTGATAAGATTGGTCCATCAGTTTCAAGAACATCTATGCCAACTGGTAGCAGTTCTCTGAGATTTCTAACAGGAGACTTTTAATTAGAGTTGTCAGAGGCTAAACCTGAACCTTTTGCATGCAAAGCACATCTCAACCTCTGTACTAATGTTGTGGCACTGCCATGCAGTGTCATAGTTGTGTGAGATTCATTCAACTGCATAAGGGCATGATTTCTAATAACCTAGGCCTTGGTTGATCTTCATGGACCACAGGAAGATCTGGAACTATCTCTGCTAGGAGAAACTGTTCTTGGAGTACAGCAAAGGGGAAGTCAGTATTGGAGGACTCTTTGGGGATATGTTGGGTTTGTGGCCTTAGTGGTGGTCATGGTCTCACTAAACTATGTACTGCAGGCTTCAGAAAATATGAAAGGTGATCAGATTGACTGTACAGTGGTTTTCTTAATGCATTCATTGTTGTATCCAGGTAGCCACTGTGCACTGGGTTAATAACTTCCTCCACTGTTCTAAAATTTGTAACACTTTAAAAATGCTGTTCTAAAGAAGTCTTTCTAATACCTTCACCTGCCCTGTAGGAGGCTGGCTATACACACACACAAAAAGTATTTTTAAGTTCTGTAAAAGAGGAAATTCCAGCATATAAGATTTTCACTATTTATTTCATTTCATTTCATTTCTGTGCTGCGTATCTCCCAGAAAGGGACCCAAGGCAGTTCACAGATAAAATTTTTTATAAGAGTTTACAATAAAAATTTAAAAACAATTAAAACCAACTATATAAAAACAGTGTTGTTGTTGTTGTTGTGTGCATGCATATTTCTGAAGCCTCACAGTGATGTCACTGTGGAGCAAGGTTCACATGTACATCTGAATTTTCCACTCAAAACTGGGATAAATCCC